CTCCAGCCTCTCTAGAAATCAACGGGAAAATAGCCTCGGGTGAGGATTTTAAAAAAATAAAACAGAAAAAGCAGACTGGGCAAGTCTGCTGAGCAGCCTGAGGGTCTGTCTGTATTTCTAACAAGCGCCCAGGAAATGGGGGTGCTGACTGGGACCTGGACCACAGAAAGGAGCAAGGGCTTAGGTCAAGGTCAATGGGCTGTCCCACCCCCGCCCACCCTGCACAGCTCTGCCTTCAGGCCCGCCTCCCTTCCCCCGGCCTCCCTGCCAATCAGCCCCCACCCTTTCCCGCGCCCTCTGCACTTCTCCCTTTGAAGCGTCTGTAACCACTGTAATTAAAGAGCATTTGGGTAATTATTAGTTTAATGTCTGTCTCCCAGGGAGACTGCAAGCTGCACGCGGACAGACGGGACCAGCTCAGCGACTGGGGAATCTCACGCCGTCCGTCCGTCCAAGGGGGAGCCGTCGGGGTCTGGAGTGGCCTGGGGAGGAGGGGACGGCTCACACGGGTGGGAAATGCCTGCTGTGGGCCTTAAGGATGAGAGCGGCACACCCAGCTTTAACATCCCCACCAGTTTCACATACGTGACAGCCATCGTGTGAGCTGGAGCGCACATACCGCCCTGGTTGGTGTGGCTCAGTGGATAGAGCTGGTGTGGCTCATTGGCCTACAGAGGGGAAAGGATGGCAGTAGGGCCCTAGCCAGTGTTGCTCAGTGGTTAGAGCAACATTTTTTTTTTAATTGAATTTTTACAGAGAGGAAGGGAGAGGGACAGAGAGCTAGAAACATCGATGAGAGAGAATCATCAACCAGCTGCCTCCTGCACACACACCCCCCCCACTGGGGACGTGCCCGCAACCAAGGTGCATGCCCTTGACTGGGCTAGAACCCGGGACCTTTCAGTCCGAAGGCCGATGCTCTATCCACTGAGCAAACCGGTTTCGGCATCTTCTGACATCCTTTTGAGGAGCCGGGATGTGCTGAGTGCTCCTTGCTGGCAAAGCTTGAAGCTTGAAGCCAGTCTGCCTGGGTTCCGATGCCAGCTGTGTGTGGCCCTGGTTTCCCAACCTGTGCCCTGGTTTCCCAACCTGCCAAGTGGGGATGACACTGGCATCGCTAGCATCTGGGAAGACTGAGGCAGAGCACTTAGCCACGCCTGGCCCGAGATATCGAATTATGATTATTCTCCCACATCCAGCCCAATCGGAGCCCTCACTATTGTTTGTTTGGTTGTGTGGTTTTTTTTAATATATTTTATTGATTTTTTACAGAGAGGAAGAGAGAGGGACAGAGAGCTAGAAACATCAATGAGAGAGAATCATGGATCATGGATCATGGATCAGCTGCCTCCTGCACACCGCCCACTGGGTACATGCCCTTGACTGGAATCGAACCCGGGACCCTTCAGTCTGCAGGCCGAAGCTCTATCCACTGAACCAAACCAGTCTCGGCCCTCGCTATTGTTTTTGGGAGCAAGTCTCCACCCAGCAGCCCCACCCCATTCAAAGCTCTCCAGTCCAGGCCCCTCCCGCAGTACCTGCCTGGAGGAGCCAGCAGGGAGGAGCGAGCTTTTGAAGTGACCTGTTACTGCAAAACCCGGCAGCTCCCATCCATCCCCACCCCGCCCGGCCCCCCGCATCCCTGTGTCATTCTCTGACTCCTCTCGCGAGGAAAACCTCTGGCCTCCGATCCAACACATGGATGCAACAAGCAGTGATTGAGGGCTCTCTCGGTGGCAGACCCCGTTTTAGGCACAGGGGCTTCACACGGAACCAAAAAGGACCTCGACCCGCATGAAAGGATGCTGAACAGGAAGATCGAATCCACCAAGAGAAGATGGCCCTTACATCCCCATCTTCTCTCCAGATCAATCCTCAGTCAATCCCAGGTACCAAAGCATGAAGGAAGCATCACGGGTCAAAAGGTGCTAAGAGTGGCCTTGGCCTGTGTAGCTCAGTGGGCAGAGTGTTGGCCTGCGGACTGAAGGGTCCTGGGTTTGATTCCGGTCAAGGGCAATATATATTTTTAAGTATATATTTTGCCCTTGACCGGAATATATATTTTTAAATATATATTTTATTGATTTTTTTATAGAGAGGAAGGGAGAGGGATAGAGTTAGAAACACTGATGAGAGAGAAACATCAACCAGCTGCCTCCTGCTCACCCCCTCCTGGGGATGTGCCCACAACCAAGGTACATGCCCTTGACCGGAATCGAACGTGGGACCCTTCAGTCCGCAGACCGACACTCTATCCACTGAGCCAAACTGGTTTCGGCTTAAATATATTTTATTCATTTTTCACAGAGAGGATGGGAGAGGGATAGAGAGTTAGAAACATCGATGAGAGAGACACCGATTCAGCTGCCTCCTGTACACCCCCCACTGGAGATGTGCCCGCAACCACGATAACATGCCCTTGACCAGAATCGAACCTGGGACCTTTCAGTCCGCAGACTGACGCTCTCTATCCACTGAGCCACACCGGTTAGGGCTAAATATATATTTTTAAAAATGAAGTGCTAAGTGTGGCTTGGGAGCAGCCTGCCGACCCGATGGACTTTGAAGAAGTCCATGCAAGAATAGCCAGAAGCCCCTGGTGCCCCGCCTAGCAGTCCGTTGGGCCAGTCAAACCCTCCAGGACAGTATGTGTGTCACAGCGGGAACACGGGGCTTCTTTACCCATCTCATGCACACAGCACACGCCCATGGTCTCATGCTCTCAGAGCCATGAACTTGGGAAATGCTCCCCAGCAGGAATAAAGGCGGCAGCCTTGTGTTAAGAGCACGCATGCACTGGACATGAACCCGGACAGCTCAGGGTCAAGGGCTGACCCTGCCCCTTACTGTGGGGCCCTGGGCATGGAGCCTGTCTCGGGCCTGGGTTTCTTTGACTGCTTACATTTGTATTTATTTATTTGCTGTAGTTAATCCTCACCCCCAAGGATTTTTTTCCCCCATGATCTCTTAGACTTAGAGAGAGTGGAAGAGAGAGGGAGAGAGACAGAGAGAAACATCGATGTGAGAGAAACACATGGATGGGTTGCCTCCTGCACATGCCCTGAGCCCAGCCAGGGGCCGGGGAGGAGCCTGCAACCAAGGTGCATGCCCTTGACCGGAAGGAACTGAATCGGGGTCCCTTTGGCCTGCAGGACAGCGCTCTATCCACTGGGCCAAACCGGCCAGGAGAGTGGTAGGCCAGTTCATGAGTCCACAGAACCAAGTATCCACAGCACAGCGACTGACATTGCTTCGGAGAGCCACATTTTTTTAAACGTAAACTTCTTCTAACACCACTTCTTCAGCATAGACTCGCCCAGGCCGTGGTATTTTGTGGAAGAGCCACACTCAAGGGGCCAAAGTGCCGCCTGTGGCTCGCGAGCCGCAGTTTGCCGACCACGAGGCTAGGGCATGCCTGGGTTCCTTTCAGACAACCGCTCTGGTCCCTCTTGGGCTTTGAGCTCCAAAGGCTGGGATCGACCACCATTTGACATGAGATCCAGCAGATTAGGGGTGTCGAACTCAATCAGAGAAGGGGCCAAAATCTAAAATCCAGCCTAAATCGCGGGCCGAATGGTTTACTGAACAGTCATAAACTGTCATTGTGATGGAAACGCAGCGGAGTGCAGTGATGACAGCGCGGTGCGGGCCACATTGCAAGGCCTGGCGGGACGGATTTGGCCCTCGGGCCTTGTGTTTGACACATGTGCAGCAGATTCCCGGAACTTTCCATCCCACAGAAGGAGCCCCCAGCCTGGGGTTGGGAGGTGGGTCAGCACCCCAGATGGGGCAGGGCAAAGCTAGAATAGGAGTCATTGCACAAAATCTTGGGGGATTCGGGGGGTCCCCCATTTGTCTTTCGTCCTCCAACTTGAAAACCATTCCAGATCTTTCTTTCTTTTTTTTAATTTAATATATGTTATTGATTTTTTAAAATATATTTCATTGATGTTTTACAGACAGGAAGAGAGAAGGATAGAGAGTTAGAAACATCCATCAGCTGCCTCTTGCACACACACCCCCACTGGGGATGTGCCCGCAACCAAGGTACATGCCCTTGACCGGAATCGAACCCGGGACCTTTCAGTCCCCAGGCTCTAACTACTGAGCCACACCTGTTTCGGCTGTTATTGGTGGTTTTTTTTTTACAGAGAGAAAGGAAGAGTCACAGAGAGTTAGAAACATCCACGTGCCGCCTCCTGCACACCTCCTACTGGGGATGTGCCCGCAACCAAGGTAGTACATGCCCTTGACCGAAATCGAACCTGGGACCTTTCAGTCCACAGGCTGATGCTCTATCCACTGAGCCACACCGGTCAGGGCCCATTCCAGATCTTTCCCCGTCTCCAGAAAGGGAACCTGAGAAACAGATCTCACGGGTTGTGCGGAGTGACCCCCAAGTACGAAACTGAGTGACCCGCTGGCCACGCACCTCGGAACACAGAGACTTGAACCCGGGAAAAGAGCGAGAATCTGCCTTTCGCTTCAACGTACCGCCTCCCTCCACCCACACGCATGCACGCAGGGGAGAGTCTGGCGGCGAGAAAATGTGGCCTGAGTGGCCCATGCGCCCTCCCCAAAGGCACGCCGCTCCAGGCCACACCACAGCCCACGGGCAGGACAGCCAGGCCCTGCAGGGTCCTGGAGCGTGAATCCAGGGGGAAAACTGCAGGGGACCTATGCAGAGGTCCTGTCCCAAGTCATGGCAGGTGCCTGGCACCGGGGGACACACGGCGAAACCACCAGCAAACAACATTCACTTGCAAACAAATGAGAAAGGGACAGTCATGCCATGAGGCCACAGGGCCACGGGGCCACGGGCGGGTCTCCCACATCAGAACCAGACAGGCCCGCGGCTTTGATCACAGAAGACACCAAGGACCCGTTTTTTCTACTGACAGTTGGGAGGGGGGGTCTCACTGGCCCTCCCCCACCTGGCCCGGCAGGTCCTTTGAAGGCCTCTCGTTGGCTCGCCATGAACTTGGAGTGATTTTACTTACATGATCTCAAAGGCAGGGTTGAAAAGGAGTCGCTTCAAAGATGGCGGGGTGACCCTCAAGGCTGCAAAGACCTCCTCTGAGCACCTGTGGGGAGATTTTGCACATTTTAGAGGCGACCCCTGGAACTGACCATGTCCCCCCTTCCAATGGACGCCTGCCGGGGGTTCCCATTCTGGGGGGCACAGAAATCAAGGCCCGCCCAGGGCACCCTGAGCAAGTGAGGGCATTGACCCCGACTCCAGGGAGGCCCAGGGGGGTGGCACCCCACTCCCTGGATGGACCAGCACCCCGAAGTGTCCCCCGTGAAAACGCACTAAGACTAAGCCTGCGCCTTCCCCCGCAACCATCGTGGGAGCTCAGAGACATGAATGACCGAGTTTGGGGTTCGTTAAAACCCCACGCAAGCCCCTCCCTGGCCTCTTCCGTCTCCCCCAAACTGCTGCTCAGACTGGAGCCAGGCAGTGGCCGCGACCACAAAAGTCATCTTTAAAAGGCAAGTTGGGCCAAAAACGGTTTGGCTCAGTGGATAGAGCATCGGCCTGCGGACTGAAAGGTCCCAGGTTCGAGGTCCTGGGTTTGATTCCGGTCAAGGGCACATTATTGGGGGGGGGGGGGGCGGGGGTGCAGGAGGCAGCTGATGGATGTTTCTCTCTCATCGATGTTTCTGGCTCTCTATCCCTCTCCCTTCCTCACTGTAAAAAAACAATAAAATATATTAAATTACAAAAAAAAAAGGCACGTTGGGGAAAAATAAACAGAAAACACACACACACAGACACACACACACACACCCCTATACGCACGAGTTAGCCAGTCCGCGGTTTGAGGGTGCGCTGGCAGGGAGGGGGCCGGGTCTATGGGAATCTCCAAGGCTGAGGCCGGGGTGGAGAGAACAGGCTGCCCTCACCTAACGGTCCCGGGGTCCCCGCGCTCCCCCTCCCCCCGCAGCCTCGAGAACCCCGGATCTGACGCCGCCGACGATCACACCCACCAGCGCGCCGTCCAATTAGGAAAATGACCGCGAGGAGACTCGGAGAGAGGATGACTGGGGGGGGAAGGAAGGGGGGGGCCCCGGGGCCCCGACTAGGGACTCGGGGAGACTCAGCACAGGCCACGGCCAGCCGGCGGAGCGCCTTCAACAGGTCCCCGCGGGGCTGCCCCGACGCCGCCGGCCCGGCGGGTGGAGGGGGGTCCCCAGGGCGCATGGCGCATCTCGGGGGACCAGCCCCCCCCCCCATCACCACCCCGAGTGGCTGGGACACGCACGGGGCCGCCCCACCCACTCGGAGAGTAAAGTTTGTGGGCAGCCGAGGGGCGGGGCGAAACTTTGAGTCCCGGGCGGCCGGTCGAGCGGCCGGGGGGAGTGCACCGGCGCCGGGACACCCACGTGCGGGGTCCTCCCGCCCCCCCAGCCGCCGCCGCCACCGCCCGGCCTCCCGCGCCGCCGCCACCGCGTTGCTTCCCTTTCCTTTCCTTTCTGCTTCTCTCTCTCTCTCTCTCTCTCTCTCTCTCTCTTCCGTCTCTCATTCGCGCGCTCCCCTCCCTCCCTTCATCCCTTCCCCCTCTCCCCTCCCCGCCCCCCCAGACGCCATCCCCAGTCTTCTACCCCCCGCTCCTCTCCTCTCCTCCTCCCTCTCTCTCTCTCTCTCTTTCTCTCTCTCTCTCTCTCTCTCCCTCCAGCTCTCTCGCCGGCATGCGGGAATGTGGAAGTGAAAGGGAAAAGGCGACATGTTTGCAGCCGCGGCGGGCGCGGGCCTGCGCGCCCCGGTCCCCGGGGAGAGGCGGGGGGCGGGCCGGCCGCGGCCGCAGCGCCCCAGCCCCGCGCCCCCCTGCGCCCCCGGCGCCCCGCCCGCCCGTCCTCCCGTCCGATCCACCCTCCCGCCCGGGGGTGCGGGGCTGCGGGGCCCAGCGGACACTCACCCGGCTCCGGGTCCGGGTCCGGGTCCGGGGCTGCGCGGGGGCCTCGGGGGGCCGGGGGCGCGGTGCCCACCGCCGGCTGCTGTGCGCGCCCGCCCGCCGCCGCCGCCTCCACGCGCGCCCGCCCTCCGCTCCTCTCTTTCTCTCTCTCTCCCTCTGCCTCTCGCTCCCTCTCTCTCTCTCTCCTCCTCCTCCCTCTCTCTCTCTCTCCCAGGAAGAAGGGAGCGAGGCAGGGCGGGCGCGGAGGGATGCAAAGCAGCAGCTCCTCCGGAGCCGGCGCGCCCGGGAGAGAGAGAGACACACACACACACACACACACACACACACACACACACACACACACGGAGGAGGGAGAAGCAGCCCTTTTATCTCTCTTTTGTGCTCTCACTTCCTTCCACCCCCCACCCCCTCCTGTCAGCCCAAGTTTTCTTTTTCTCTTGCCACCGAGGACGGGTTTTTTTTTTTCTTCTTTTTTTTCTTTTCTTCCCCTTTCTCTCTGCCTCTCGCTCCAACTCTCCCACTCCGAATGGAAAGCGCCTCAGCCGGGCGTCCGCTCCCCCCCTCCCCTCCCCTCCCTCCCGCCCTCCCTCCCCTTCTTCTTTCTTCCCTCTTTTCTTCCTTCTTCCTCCTTTCTTATGTCTCTAAAAAAGGGTTTTGTGTGCCTGTGGGAGTTTTCGTTTGAAAACCTAGTCACGCCTTTTTTTTTTTTTCTTTCCTCCTCCTCCTCTCTCTCTCTCTCTCTCTCTCTCTCTCTCTCTCTCTCTCTCTCTCTCTCTCAGAAAAAGGGGAACAAAGATGAAGTGAAGCGGGGGGAGGAGAAGGGCAGCGGCAGCACCTCACATGGAAAAAGGGGGGGAGGCATAAAGGGGCCCGGGGACTGCGCGCCCCCCCCTCAGGCCCCCCCCCCACACAGGCCCTGGGGAGCCTGAGGCGCCCGGAGAAGGGGAACCAGCGGGGCGGGTGGGGTGCCGCCCAGCCAGCCGCCCCTCCCGGGGCCCGGAGTGGAAGCTGGGTGTGTTCTGGAGACTCCTGTCTTTTGAAAAAAGTAGGCAGATGGGCTGGGAAACTGCAGAAAAGCCTGGAAAACAGCTGTTCGGGGCGCCCCGGACGGACGGACTGACGGGCTCTAGGGCGCGGGCCGCGAGGGGGGCGCGCAGGCGCGCTCCCGGCCTTGCGCGCGCGGGGCCCGGACTGGCGGAGCCGGGGGTCGCCCCCCCCCCCCCCGAGGGCCCTCCAATCCCAGGGCGCGGCCTCAGCCCCGCGGACACCGCAGGGGGCGTCGGGGCGTCGGGGCGTGGCCACTTCCTGTGCAGGGTCAGGGCCTGGCGCCTCCTTGCGGGGGGCTTGGCACGGCCTGGCTTCCCACCCCCCTCAGCCCCCAGCTCTCCGGGGCGCAGGCCGGACCCTGGGCCTCCCACCTCCGGGAACCCAGCTCCTCGGACCCGCGTCTGTACTCGGGGACCCTGTGTCTCCCCCCGCCCCCCCCCCCCCCCCCCCCCCCCGCTCGGGGCAGAGCCGCCCCGAGAGGGTCAATTATTCATGGGGCGCCCAGGCGTGCTCCCAAGACCTGCTCTGCCCTCAGCTTCTGCAGGCGAGGCGGGGAGAGGACAGGGAAAAGTTCCCAGAGTAAAAAGTTGGCCACGTTCTCTCTCATGTCCCCCAAGTAAGTATTGAGCACCTGCTGGATGCCTGGGGCTGGGGCTGAGGCTGCTGCCAAGGACTGAGGGGGGAACGTGAGGCCCCCCCTGGGGTCCCCACCCCCCCCCGGAGTTTCCGCAGGAAACAATGCCTGAGGAGCCTGGCGCCCCAGACCAGGTCAGGGAGGAGGAGGAGAAGGAAGGAAAGCCGGCGCCTGCCTGCCCAGCGCCTCGCTTCCTTCCCCTTCCTTCCTTCCTTCCTTCCTCCCGGCAGCATCTCCTTGGCTCCGCCCCTTCTTCTCATCCATTCCTCCCACACTTCCCTGCTTTTCAGCGGAGGGTCCCTGCTCCCAGCAGAGAGAGCAGATGTGGAGCCCTATTGTCTTCTCCCCCAAGGGGCTGCAGACTCCCCCGACCGACCTGCTACTTGGCATCCCTCCCCCCCTCCGCCTGCCCCCCAGCCAGGAGGCCTGGGCCTTCAGAGACCGGAGCCCCAAGGCCACTGCCCCTCACCCCACCCCGAACTAGCGCCTGGTGATGTGAGCAATGACTGCAGTCACTCAGAAACATGATTTGTGTCTGACTGGGAGGGAGAAAGCAGGAGCCGGAGGCTTGGCGTGGGCAAGGAGGACACCAGCGTTTTAATACCACCACGCGAAGGCCCCAGAGCCTTTGGCCACTGGGCCCCCTTCATAGGATGACACATTTCTGTCATTTTTTAAAAAAATATTCTATTGATTTTTTTTACAGAGAAAGGGAGAGGGATAGAGAGCTAGACACATCGATGAGAGAGAAACATCCATCAACTGCCTCCTGCACATACCCCTACTTGGGATGTGCCCGCAACCAAGGTACATGCCCTTGACCGGAATCGAACCTGGGACCCTTCGATTCACAGGCCGGTGCTCTGTCCACTGAGCCACACCGGTTTCGGCGCATCGCTGTCATTTTCTTTTCCTCCAGATTCGTGCCCCCACGTCGTAGCCTTCAAACAAAGCAAAGCACAGCTCGGGCCGGCCAAGCATTCATTTCACAAATGCTTACCGAGTATACCTACCTACTGGGTGCCTGCTGTTGAGCTGGGTGCCAAGGTCCTCCTCATGGAAGGCCTGGCCAGACCCGCAGGGAAATAATAAGCAAGAAGGCAGCAGCCACCACAGTGCCAGGTGCTGCGTGCAAAGAACAGAGGAGGAAGCACCTAAGAGGAGACTCTCGACGAAGGTGGTCAGGGAGGGCTTCCCGGAAGAGGCGACATCTGGATGAGTAGGCCTGGGACAGGCAGATGCGTGGGCAGGCACAGCCTGTCCAAAGCCCCCAGGGCAAGTGAGCACATCCTTACAGATTCTTGGAGCTGCCCCAAGTATGTGCCACCCCAGAGGAGAGTGCATGCGGGGGAGTGGGGAAGGAGAGCAATGTCAGGGCACACGTGGGGGAGGCGAGAGCATGGAGGGTGACTGGGCGAAGTGGGGGAGGGGAGATTGTCAGATTTTAGCCTATCCCGCTTGTTTAACTTCATGAGCTTGGAGGAGTCACAGCCTCAGGAAAGAACTTAGACTCAGTTTCCCCACTTATACATTGGGGCTAAGAAAGATCTGGGAGCCAGAACTGGTTTGGCTCAGTGGAGAGAGCGTTGGCCTGCGGACTGAAGGGTCCCAGGTTTGATTCCAGTGAAGGGCATGTACCTTGGTTGCGGGCACATCCCCAGTGGGCGGGGGGGGGGGGGGGTGCAGGAGGCAGCTGATCGATGTTTCTCTCTCATTGATGTTTCTGACTCTCTATCCCTCTCCCTTCCTCTCTGTAAAAAATCAATTTAAAAAAATAAGAAAGAAAGATCTGGGGGCTGCAGAGATAGCATCTTCTGTGTAAGGGCCTAGGCTTACTTGCGGGCAAATCTCTGGGCTTGTGGACTTCTCTGTCTTCCCATCTGTAAAATGGGTATGAAAACACACCGTCTCACGGGGTTAAAACGAGGCCTACGTGAGCCTGTGCAGAGCATGGTACATGGTGGCTTCTATTCTTTCGCGTGTTTTTTTGGGGGGGTTTGTTTGCTTGCTTATTTGTTCTGTTAATCCTCACCCATGGATATTTTCCCATCGGTTTTTAGGGAGCGTGGAAGAGACAGAAAGAAACATCGATGTGAGAGCAACACCATCGATGGTCTGCCTCCTGCACTGGCCCTGGCCAGGGCCCAGGCCCGGGAGGAACCTACAACCCAGGTACAAACAAGCCTTTGCCCAGAGTCGAACTCAGAACCCTATGGTCCCCAGGCCGACAGTCTATTATCACATGTGTCAAACACAAGGCCCGCGGGCCAAATCCGTCCCTCCAGGCCTTGCAATGTGGCCCGCACCACGCTGTCATCACTGCACTCCGCTGCGTTTCCATCACAATGACAGTTTATGACTGCTCAGTAAACCATTCGGCCCGCGATTTAGGCTGGATTTTAGATTTTGGCCCCTTCTCTGATTGAGTTCGACACCCCTAGTCTATATCCACGGAGCCAAACCAGCTAAGCCTATCCCTTCGGGTTTTTTTGTTTGTTTGTTTGTTTTTAATATATTTTATTGATTTTTTATAGAGAGGAAGAGAGAGGGATAGAGAGTTAGAAACATCGATGAGAGAGAATCATCCATCAGCTGCCTCTTGCACCCCTCCCTCCCCACTGGGGATGCGCCCGCAACCAAGGTACGTGCCCTTGACCGGAATCGAACCTGGGACCTTTCATTCCGCAGGCCGACGCTCTATCCACTGAGCCAAATCGGTTTAGGCTTTTCCTTCGTGTTATAAACCAGGAAGGTGCCCGTACATGAGATTCCATTCCAGATGACTCACCACGCCAGAAACTCGATGAGCTAGCTTGTGGAGGAGCATTCATTTGAAAGATGCCCGTATCCCCACAGGTGGCCTGGATCGGGGACACCTACGTCTCATCCAGGGGGCCAAGGCGTTCGCTAAGGGGCATGGATGGCACTCGGAGATTGGCTACCCAAGCCAAGCCTCGTCAGGGGAGGGTATCCTGGCAAAGAGAGGGGACCCCCTTGGAGCAGGTACCCTGAGTTTGCTCAGTGGAGAGAAGCAGACAGACAGTCACGCTGGGGAGGAGGGCGGGCAGAAGGGATTATAGACTCCTTTACCAGCTGCTTGAAATCTTTTTTAAAAAATATATATTTTATTGATTTTTTACAGAGAGGGAGGGAGAGAGAGCTAGAAACATCAATGAGAGAGAATCACCGATCAGCTGCCTCTTGCACACCGCCTACTGGGGATGTGCCCACAACCAAGGTACATGCCCTTGACCGGAATCGAACCTGGGACCTCTCAGTCTGCAGGCTGACGCTCTATCCACTGAGCCACACCGGTTTTGGCTGCTTCAAATCTTAGTTCTTTGCCTGGGTCCCTCATTCTCGAAGCCACATGCAGATGAACTTGGCACCAGCAGATTGCCCCCTCCCGGATCCTGGCGCACCGGTGTTCCAGTTTCTGGCATTGTAAACATCTTAACACTCCTATTATTTCTTTAGGACACAAGTTCATGGTGAGATAGTTTGAAAATTAGCTAAGCCAAACTGAAAAGGAAACCCCCGTGGAGCCACTATAGTGTGGCATATACATCCTTGGACATTTTATTTTTTTAATATATTTTTTATTGATTTTTTTACAGAGAGGAAGGGAGAGAGATAGAGAGCCAGAAACATCGATGAGAGAGAAACATCGACCAGCTGCCTCTTGCACACACCCCCCCCCCCACCGGGGATGTGCCCGCAACCAATGTACATGCCCTTGACCGGAACCGAACCCGGGACCCTTCAGTCCGCAGACCGACGCTCTACCCACTGAGCCACACCGGTTTCGGCCATCCTTGGACATTTTATATCCACGCATATAGAAAATAAAACCATACAAAGTAAATATTGTTGCCCAGCTGATGTGGCTCAGTGGTTAAGGTCAACCCGTGACCCGGGAGGTCACGGTTTGATTCCCGGTCGGGGCACAGGCCCGGGTTGCGAGCTCGGATCCCCAGCGCGGGGTGTGCAGGAGGCTGCCGATCCATGATCCTCTCTCATCAATGGATGTTTCTACCTCTCTCTCCCTCTCTCTTCCGCTCTGAAATCAGTAAAGTAGATATTAGAAAGATGTTAAATTGTTCAACAAATGAGTGACTTGTACATGTAAATAGTATGTTATTTTTACAAAATTAACAAAAATGACATAACCCTAGACCTATTGAATTGCAACCACTTTCGCCCAGTGGTAAGTCACAGGTATCTTTCTCTCTCTGTAAACACCCACATTATCATTCATATATATATATATATATATATATATATATATATATATGTGTGTGTGTGTGTGTGTGTGTGTGTGTGTGTGTGTGTGTATGTGTGTGTGTATATATATATATATTTTTTTAATTGATTTCAGAGAGGGAGAAAGAGAGAGATAGAAACATCAATGATGAGAGAGAATCACCGATCAGCTGCCTCCTGCATGCCCCCCCACTGGGGGGATGGAGCCCGCCACCCGGGCATGTGTCTTTGGCCAGAATCGAACTTGGGACCCTTCAGTTTGCAGGCTGACGCTCTATCCACTGAGCAACACCAGCAGGGACACCCCATTATCTTTTTCTCTTGCGGATGGCCGCCCTGGGACAACCTGTCTGGGCAGGTGACCCACTTCCTTCTCTGACACCTTTTTAACTTCTCTAATGTCCACTAACGTCCTGGGCTTCTGAGGGATAAAGGCAGGGAATATGACATGTGACGCATTAGGGCGTATTGCGTACACTGAGGCCCTGGTGCAAACGTTAGGTCTGCAGTCACCGACAGGCACCCCCGAGGTTTAGCCAGATCCCCTGGCCAGCTCAAACCGGGGAAGAGAACCCCAGGATTCATACTAGAGAGAAAGAAATGGGGGTCTCCCTGGGTATCTCAGAAGCCCCGAGAGTTGTCCCCCTCACCCTCCCCTGCCCCCAGAGCTGAAATGGGAAGGAAAGTTTGCTATTATAAGGTTTAAATCTTTTTTTAAAACATATTTTATTGATTTTTTTTTTACAGAGAGGAAGAGAGAGGGATAGAGAGTTAGAAACATCGATGAGAGGGAATCATCGATCAGCTGCCTCTTGCACACCCCCTCCTGGGGATGTGCCCGCAACCAAGGTACATGCACTTGACCGGAATCGAACCCGGGACCCTTCAGTCCGCAGGCCTACGCTCTATCCACTGAGCCAAACCGGTTTCGGCCCTATTATAAGGTTTATTCATCCTCAGGATTTCCCCAAGGGAGAAGGGGATCAGATGCATTCATGCTGCAGACTTTCCAGAATGTTCCTATCCATCTCTGAAAGTCTGGGGAATCTTGAGAGCTGAGAATAGGGAGGAGACACAGCTCTTCGGCGTCTCAATTGATGTGTTCCCCCGAGTAGCTGCTGGGAGATTAGCAGGTGATTATTAAGATCTGTTTCTCTCATTGACAGACCAGACAGACATTTTAAGAAGCATTCGAGGCTCCTGCAATATTTCGTGTTGGATGCTTCGTGCTAAATCTCCCAACTGGCCTCAGCCATTGGAAAGGGCAGGACCCCAGGGTGGAAGTAAGAGGGACTTCAAAAAGCGGTTATGTCAGATAGCTTTCCCCCCTCTAGAAACAGTCACATTATCCTTATTTTTTTTAATGTATTTTTTATTGATTTTGTACAGAGAGGAAGAGAGAGAGATAGAGAGTCAGAAACATCGATGAGAGAGCCATCGATCAGCTGCCTCTTGCACACCCCCTACTGGGAATATGCCCGCAACCAAGGTACATGCCCTTGACCGGAATCGAACCTGGGACCCTTCAGTCCCCAAGCCAACGCTCTATCCATTGAGCCACACCGGTTTTGGCTATCCTTATTTTTTTATTAATTATGTTTTTAAAAATATATATTTTATTGAGTTTTTACAGAGAGGAAGGGAGAGGGATAGAGGGTTAGAAACATCGATCAGCTGCCTTCTGCACACCTCCCACTGGGAATGTGCCCGCAACCAAGGTACATGCCCTTGACCGGAATCGAACCTGGGACCCCTCAGTCTGCAGATCGACGCTCTATCCACTGAGCCGAACCGTTTTCGGCAGTATACGCTTTTAAGCTTTTTTTACATATAAAATAAGCAAAGACATAGCTTTATTTTGCTTCTTTTGTTTTTATTGATTTCAGAGAGGAAGGGAGAGGGAGAGAGAAACATCCATGATAAGAGAGAATCTTGGATCGGCTGCATCAAGCTTGTCACCTGGCCTGTGCCCTGACCAGGAATCGAACCGTGACCTCCTGGTTCATAGGTCGATGCTCAACCACTGAGCCACACTGGCCAGGCCTTTTAAGCTTTTCTTGGTCACTAATATGAAATTGTATTCCAGGCTTTTTACCAATAATGAGCTCTTCCACAGCAATAGAAGTTATTGTTATGGCTCTTACGTGTTTATTGGTTTTGACCTGGTGAAGCTGGCAGGTTCCTGTTTATGGTCGATGGCCTAGGCTTCTTTTGGCATATTTTTAGTCTCATATTTATGCAAATAAGGCTGATTAGGTTACGGGGAATAAAGCAATGCAAATACACACCCGTGGCCACAGGCAGAGTCATCAGAGGAAGGCGATTTTGACACAGCCTGTCATTACTCCTGGAAAATCACTTGCCAATGTCAGATGTCGACCACACACAGATTTTTGCCTGCCTTTGGGTTTCCCGCTAAATCCTGGATGATTCCTAAATTTTCCTTTTTTTAAAAAAATATATTTTTATTGATTTCAGAGAAGAAGGGAGAGAGAGAAAGAGAGAGAGAGAGAGAAACATCAATGATGAGAGAGGCTCATGGGTCGGCTGCCTCCTGCACGCCCCACACTGGGGATGGATCCCTCAATCGGGCCATGTGCCTCTGACTGGAATCAAACCAGGGACCTTTCAGTCCGCTGGTCAATGCTCTATCCACTGAGCCAAACCGGCTAAGGCTGACCTGGATCTTTTTTTACTGTGGAGTGAATGAGAAGCCTAGGAACTGTTCTCTAACTATATGTTAATGCTTAAAAATTATATACTAGCCCTAGCTGGTTTGGCTCAGTGGATAGAGTGTCTGCCTTCGGACTGAAGGGTCCCAGGTTCGATTCCAGTCAAGGGCGTGTACCTTGGTTGCGGGCACATCCCCAGTAGGGGGCGGGCAGGAGGCAGCTGATCGATGTTTCTCTCTCATCAACTCTCTATCCTTCTCCCTTCCTCTCTAAAAAATTAATAAAATCTATATATTTTTTTTTATTATAAGTTTATAGTTTATTAGTTCTCTCGCAAAAAAATCTGCACAACCGTCACAGATAGTCACCGAAGAATCTTTACTCCTTTTTGCCAGCACCAACATTGGCCTTAGCAGTCCCCCTGACTTTCTTCATCCTGTTCTTGCGTTCCTTTCTCTGTTTTCTTGAGGTCTTCTTCTTCTCATGTAGGCCATGTCGTGCAAGTCTGTGTTTGGGTTCATTTTTCTTTGCGTAATCCAAGGAATCATAAATCATGCCAAAGCCAGTGGTCTTGCCACCACCGAAGTGGGTTCTGAATCCAAACACAAAGATGACATCAGGTGTGGTCTTATACATTTTGGCTAGTTTTTCCCGAATTTCTGTCTTGGGTACTGTTGCCTTCCCAGGGTAAAGGACATCGATGACCATTTGCTTCCGCTGAAGTAGTCTGTTGGTCATGAACTTCCTGTTCCGGATGGTTACCGTGTCGTTCATGATGAAGGTTTAGCTTCCAGCATCCAGGAAGGAAAAGAGCTAAAATCTATCTATATATATATATTTTTTTTAAATCATATACTAGCCCTAGCGAGTTTGGCTCAGTGGATAGAGCGTGGGCCTGCCGACTGAAGGGTCCCGGGTTTGATTCTGGTCCAGGGCAATGCCCGGGTTGCGGTATCGATCCCCAGTGGGGAGCTTGCAGGAGGCAGCCCATCAATGATTCTCTCTCATCATGGATGTTTCTATCTCTCTCTCCCTCTTCCTTCCCCTCTGAAATCAATACAAATTAAAAAAGAAAAGAAAAAGAAACTATCATCATCCTGGAAGGAACAAAAAAAAAAAAAAGATTCAAGTCAGGCCTTCAAGGTACTTACAGTCCAAAACAGCGGAGCACACCGGAAGTCATGGGGCAGAAAGCAGGCATTTCTCCCGCCCTGACGGAGGAGGAAGGAGGAACAGCGCTCTGGCGGCTGAGGATTTGGGCTGTGCGGTGAATAGACTATTGTGAAAGCGTATTGTGCCAAAGGAGAATGGGGCTTTTTGTGAAGGGAGATAAAGGGTTGTGGGGTGAGAACCGGGAGGAGAGGGGTGGGAAAGGGAGGGGAGGGGAGGGGGAGGAGGCAGGCCTGGGTGCAGCAGGTGGACTGGGGGCAGGGCCGCTCTGAAGGTCTCCTATGGGTGTCCTCCCAGCCTGCACCTAGGTTGCTGTGTCCAGGGCCAGCCCAATTGGGGTGGGGGGGGGGGGTTGGAGGGGGTCAGTAAATGTGTATTGTTCATAAAAACAGATGAATGAATCAGCATGGCCAAAACTGGTTTGGCTCAATGGATAGAGCGTCAGCCTGCGGACTGAAAGGTCCCAGGTTCGATTCCGGGCGAGGGCATGTACCCTGGTTGCGGGCACATCCCTAGTAGGGGGTGTGCAGGAGGCAGCTGATTGATGATTCTCTCTCATCGATGTTTCTGACTCTCTATCCCTCTCTCTTCCTCTCTGTAAAAAATCAATAAGATATATTTTAAAAAAACAAACAGATAAATGAATCAACATGCATCCTTAAGGATCACTCTCATGAATTTCCTTTTAGGCATTCATTAAGCTCGCCGTCTGGGGGAAAAAGGACACCATTGCGAAGCCATGATGATGGGCAAGACCGGAGGAATGAGGTAGGTGTGTGCGTCTGCGTGTGCGTGCGTCTGCGTTAACCACAGGAGGGGCCCGGGTTCGAGTGAGAAGGTGGCCATGGCTGGAGCCTAGGGAGCTCTTGGCTGTGTGGACTAAGCAGCTGGGAATGACCGTGGCCACACTCAAACTCAGTGCTTCACTCCCTAGGCACATGTGTCAAACACAAGGCCCGCGGGCCAAATCCGTCCCGCCAGGCCTTGCAATGTGGCCCGCACCGCGCTGTCATCACTGCACTCCGCTGCGTTTCCATCACAATGACAGTTTATGACTGTTCAGTAAACCATTCGGCCCGCGATTTAGGCTGGATTTTAGATTTTGGCCCCTTCTCTGATTGAGTTCGACACCCCTACCTTAGAGCAAGCGTGTCAAACTCGCCGTGGGTGGGCAGGGCCGCGATATTGACATGTTTGTTGGCCGTGGTCGGCAAAGGATGGCTCACAAGCCACAGGCGGCTCTTTGGCCCCTTCCACAAAATACCACGGCCTGGGCGAGTCTGTGTTGAAGAAGTGGCGTCTGAAGACGTTTTAAGTTTAAAAAATGAGGCTCTCCAAAAAAATGTCAGTCGGCCTGTTGATATTTGGCTCTGTGGACTCATGAGTTTGCCGACCACGGCCTAGAGAATGGGCTCAGGGTCACCCGTGTTGCTGAGGAGATTCAGTAAGACAATGCATTGCTGCCCTGGCTGGTTTGGCCAGGTGAATAGAGAGCATCTCCTGTGGACCAAAGAGTCGCGGGTTCGATTCCGATCAAGGACATGTACCTCCGTGGCAGGCTCCTGCCCAGCCCGGGCCCAGGTCTGGGCGCATGCAGGAAGCAATCATATGGGTATTTCTCTCTGTCTTTTTTTTTTTTTTTTAATAATATATTTTATTGATTTTTTACAGAGAGGAAGGGAGAGGGATAGAGAGTTAGAAACATCGATGAGAGAGAAACATCCATCAGCTGCCTCCTGCACACCTCGCACTGGGGATGTGCCTGCAACCAAGGTATACGTGCCCTTGACTGGAATCGAACCCGGGACCCTTCAGTCCGCAGGCCAATGCTCCATCCACGGAGCCACACCGGTTAGGGCTTCTCTCTGTCTTTCCCTCTCTCTTCCACTCTCCCTAAAAGTCAATGGGAAAATATCCTTAGGTGAGGATTAACAAAAATCAAAATAATAAAAATAAAATGGATCTTGAGCTCTGCCGGTGTGGCTCAGTGGTTGAGCATCGTCCTAGGAACCAGGAGGTCAGGGTTCGATTCCCGGTCAGGGCACAGGCCCGGGTTGCGGGCTCCATCCCCAGTGTGGGGCGTGCAGGAGGCAGCCGATCCATGATGCTCTCTCATCATTGATGTTTCTCTCCCCTCTCCCTTCCTCTCTGAAATCAATAAAAAGGAGTATATAGCCGAAACCGGTTTGGCTCAGCGGTAGAGCGTCGGTCTGCGGACTGAAGGGTCCCAGGTTTGATTCTGGTCAGGGGCACATACATTGATTGCGGGCACATCCCCGGTGGGGGGTGTGCAGGAGGCGGCTGGTCGGTGTTTCTCCCTCATCGACGTTTCTAGCTCTCTGTCTCTCTCCTTTCCTCTCTGTAAAATATCAATAAAATATATTTTAAAAAAAGAAGTGTGTGTGTGTGTGTGTGTGTGTATATATCTGTATACATATGTATACAGATATGTATATATCTGTATATAGATATATACATATCTGTATACATATATAGATATGTATACAGATATGTATATATCTGTATACATATCTATATATGTATACAGATATATACATACATATATATATATATATATACATATACATATATATATATATATATTTTTTTTTTTAATGGGTCTCGAAAGAAAAGTGGGAACCTGCTCAGCCACGCAAGGGGGCCAGGGCTTTGCTCAGGGGACAGAGTGCCGGAAGCTCCCTAACCGCTCGGAGTCCTGGTGTCCTGCTCTGCAGAAGCCTCTCTGACCGCCCGAGTGAGATGACACATGCCCAGTGCCAGGGAGGTGCCCGGCCTGGAGTGGGTGCTGCCAGAAGCCAGTTCTTGGTCCCTCTCTCAAGATCACTTCCTCTTTGATGCTTCCTTCCTGTTCACTTGTGTCCTGTCGTGTCCGCCCCCCCTCCTCCCCCGCTCCTGGGGACGCAGTGACTGCTGCTCGGGCTGTGAGTTACTCAGCCTGCTTCCCAGAATCCGCAAAATCCTTTTCAAAAGCGGGTCGTGCCAAAAACCGGTGTGGCTCAGTGGACAGAGCATCGGTCTGCGGACTGAAAGGTCCTGGGTTCGATTCCGGTCAAGGGCACGTACCTTGGCTGCGGGCACATCCCCAGTGGGGGGTGTGCAGGAGGCAGCTGGTCGATGTTTCTCTCTCATCGATGTTTCTAGCTCTCTATCCCTCTCCCTTCCTCTCTGTACAAAATCAATAAAATATATTTTTAAAAATATATATAAGTCAGTCCTTTGGGAGGCAAATCCCCGGGACCAGACGCCTCTGGGACGGAGAGCTCCCTCCCCTGTGAAACCTTAGGCTGTTACACAACAGGCTGTAATGAATACCGCCCAGAATCGGAGAGGCAGCCCATCACGCTAATGAAAAATGAAAGACACCTGGGCTCTGTGCCCAGCGCCTCAGGCATGTGCCAGGCCAGGAGCCGCCAGCAGAGGGCGCTCCTGGGGGCCTGAGGTGCCCAGGCCCATCATTCGTTTGCCCATGGTGCCAGCCTCCTGTAGGAGAGAGAGCGTCGGCCTGTGGACTGAAGGGTCCCAGGTTCAATTCTGGCCAAGGACACATGCCTGGGTTGTGGGCTCCATCCCCAGTCGATCAATGATCCTCTCGCATCATAGATGTTTCTAGCTCTCTCCCCTTCTCCCTTCCTCCCTGAAATCAATAAAGAAATATACGTAGCCGAGGCTGGTTTGGCTCAGTGGATAGAGCGTCGGCCTGCGGACTGAAGGGTGGTCCTGGGTTCGATTCCGGTCAAGGGCATGTACCTTGGTTGCGGGCACATTCCCAGTGCGGGGGGTGCAAGAGGCAGCTGATGGATGTTTCTCTCATCGATGTTTCTAACTCTCTATCCCTCTCTCTTCCTCTCTGTGAAAAATCAATAAAACATTAAAAAATATATATGTATATATACATACATGTATACACATATATGCATATACATACACACATGCATATATATATATACATGTGCGTACACCTACACGTGTGTATTATATATAATACATATACCTGTATGTGTTATACACATGAATACATACATGTGTACACACACATGTGTGTATTCATATGTATGTGAATGACCCGGTCCTGGTCAGCCAGAGCAGGGCAGGAACCCATCGTCCTGTTGCCGTGGGAGCCATTCAGAGGGGAGGCCTGGGAGGGTTGGGGGGGGAAAGGGGGTGGTGCAGAGCAGGTTGGCACCGCCAGGACGTGCCCTGCCTCACAGCGTTGCTGCGGTGGGACTCAGTGAGAGAACACGTAGGAACCACACGGGACAGGCACGTGTCATCAACGTTGGCAGCGGTGACAATGCTGCTGCTGAACCAGTTTCTCCTCGGCAGCCCCGCCCAACCCAAACATGCCCACCCTTCTCCGCTCCTCTTCCTCCGAGAAGCCCTCCAGGATCACTTCGGGTCCGTGGTTTACAAATCGGGGGCCCTTCTGAATCACCTAAGAAGGTGAGAAGTTGCCAAAACCGGTTTGGCTCAGTGGATAGAGCGTCGGCCTGCGGACTGAGGGGGTCCCGGGTTCGATTCCCGTCAAGGGCATGGACCTTGGTTGCAGGCACATCCCCAGTAGGGGGTGTGCAGGAGGCAGCTGATGGATGATTCTCTCT